TGTGCCAGTGTCGAAAATTTACAATAAAGTTTGTTCCTATTTCCCGAAGAATGTCTTCTATCAAATTATATTTCTCGGGATGCCTATTTTCAAATTCATACGAAGGGAGGATGAGTTGTGTAGCTATTGACAGTCTTTTGGACCGATGCGCCGACTTTCTGCTTATTTCGGCCGGTGGTGGTGGTCATAATAATGGATTCCGTCGGCCATGTTATACGAGGTATCAGAGTTTTGATAACAATGGCTTATATATAATGCCAAAGCCTTATTTGCATAACTACCTGCTTCTGTCGTGGTCATAAGCATGTTTGCTTTCCCTACGTTTTATAGGCGTCAGTTGTATTTCCACGAAAGTTAGGCATGTCGTGTTTGTTTACTGCAGTGAGTTCGAAACGAGACCGTTGCCGCCGCTTTGATGGCTCATTTTGCCATGCTGTACCTCCAAACGGAAATCTTCAGTGACCTATTATTACTTTTCGATTACGGGAAGCACAAAAAACGGTACAAATTTGAAAAAGTAAGAATTCCGGGCTCAGAATCATAGATCATTTTCGCTCACCTGCATGTGTTTCTTTTCCTGTTGACGTTTCGGACAGCTGGGCCAGCTGTGGTTTATCAAAGCGAGAACTGACTTTATCGATCAGCAACTCAAAGTTGTGGCTGTGTGTGTGTGTGTGTGTTGGCCATAGGCTCATCAATTTTTCTACGCTCGCTGCTTTGTCCTGCGCGTGGATTTTGGCGTAACTTGACGGCAATTAGTGTTATGTTCTCTCTCCACGGTAGAGGATGCTGGTAAGCCTCCTCCCTCTTCCGATGGTTTCGTCACGGGGCCGTCTTTGTTTGCAAATCCTAGGTTCGGTATGACCAGGTCCTCTCCTTTACTAACGTAATGACGTAGGACTTTTTAGGCCGCGGGGAGGTCAAGGTACCTGTTGACAGAGTTGGCGCCTGAGTACAATGCCTCAAGCGTCAGTCTTTCGCTTTTGAGATTCCCGAAACGTCAGCAGAAAACGAAACACATCCCGGTGAGCAAAAT